TATTATTAATCTCTGGTTCTGCTGGAAGTTTCTTCCTGTTAAAAGAGAGTTTTTCTTCTCCACTGTCACCAAAGTGCTTGTTCAAAGGGGTTGTCTGATTGTTGGGGTCTCTCTGTGTTACTGTGGGTCTTTACCCATCTAAAGACATTTTTTTTCATACGTGTTTTCAGAGTTTGAACCCATGATCAGCATAATGTGGCACACATTGACACACCTGGCTCACCTGTGTGTGTTGACAACTTATCTGCTGCTGCTTTCTGTGTCTCTCTCTGAGCGAGGTTCAGCACATCTGCACACAGCTGTGACTCTGAGTGTTGAACAGCAGGAGGAGCCAATGGCTTGCTAACCGCTCAGATGATGAGCTCATGTCTGTGTCTGCTCAAACTCACACCTGGAGCCAGGTAACTCCCAGCAGGTTTCTACACTGTGGGAAGGGGGAGGGGCCAGGGTACCTGGAAGTAGGGATGGGTACCGGTATCCGGTGCCGTTCTGACATAAATGGTAGTAACCAGACCGAAAAGCAGCGCACATTTCGGTGCTTTATTTCGGTGATGTGATACACTTCAGATTCTAGCCAATCATTTTACGTTTCCAAGGATAGTAGGCGGGTCCAGGTACGTACGTTCTTTTAGAGCAGAGCTACAGATTAAAAATGCCCAAGGCGAAGCGGTCAAAAGTCTGGCTGTACTTCACAGCAAAAAATGCAAACTCAGCAGCCTGCAACAAGTGCTATTATGCTGATACTGTGATACTGTGCATAGCGGCAGGGAGGGGTGGGGTTTAAAGCCGAGAAATGCACCGTACCTGGTGCCTGTTAGCAACATCCCCCAAGAACCCGAAGAGGAGAATCCTGGCCTCTAGCCCTGCCAGTGTAGCAGAAATGATGACGGATGATGAGGGCAGCAGCAGCCGTTCTTCTCTGCGTGAGTAGCTTAATGTTGTTCGTGTGTAATTTACGTTGAGTATGCTAACCACGTTATTACATTAATGTATGTAAGCACCGGTTCGAGCACCGTTTAAGCATTTCAAAAGTACCGGTTTGGCATCGGATAAAACCTAAACGATACCCATCCCTACCTGGGAGGGGCG